ATGATCCGGATCTTGCTAATTCCCTATGTGCAAGGAAACCTGAAGGAAAGGAATTGAGGGACAATAATAAAGGGAAGGAAAGGAATTAAGACAAAATACGGAATAGGTGTTCGGAATATGGAGATAAATTAATCAGAGAAATATGGAATGAAAATTCTCTAATTAACACAAAATAATATGGAGCACAGAGTGAGACGAGGAGAAGATGACGAGGACAAGGAGTGCAGATTGAGATGATGAGACGAGGAGACTTACTGAGGCATGAGACGTGTAAAAATGTCTCCCGTTGCAACACACGGGCATTTGTGCTAGTAAGCTTCTACCTAGCGATTCGTGTTCAGTCAAGTCAAGTCGATTATTAACTATTTTTTTTTCTTTTACTGTTCATTCCGAGCTCACACATCTGACACATCAGAACAGCGCATCGACATATAGGCTCCTACTTAATGATTCTTCTATTTTAAAAAAAGAACTTAATGATTGGTGTTGAGTCAAGTCAAGCCGCTCTTGTTTGTCCCATCCATGCGCACCTGTCATCTACTGGTCCTCTTTAAAGCTAGCACGTTGCGTTGCTCCTTCGGACATCTACTCTAGAATCTCCCCTCCACCTGCAGGCAGCAGCTAGGCAGCAAGCAAGGAGACGACCATTCATTCATCTCGTTGTTCCTCTTCCGCCCGGGTTTCGGCTCCTCTGGAGTTGAATTATCACTGTACGGGTACTGTATTTAACTATACTGTGAACGTTTGAATTCAAAATTTTCAAATTATTCAAGAATTTTTGCTACCCAAAATGCGGATCCACATATAAGCTTCTACTTAATGATTCGTCTATTTCTCAAAAAAAAAGAACTTAATGATTGGTGTTGAGTCAAGTCAAGCCGCCTCTTTAAAGCTAGCACGTTACGCTGCCCCTTTGCCTATCTGTATCTGTCGTCTTTAACTCCTTTTTAAGGCTAGCACGTTGCGTTGCTCCTTCGGACATCTACTCTACTCTACTCCACTGAACCTGCAGGCTGCAGCTAGCCAGCAACCAAGGAGACGACCATTCATTCGGTCATCTCGTAGCTCCTCTTCCACCCCAGCTACTTCTTCCGATCTCTCAACGTCTCCTCTCAAGGTTAGTGCTCTCTCTTTATTCAGCTAATTGATTGTTATTATTTTCAAGTGTTCTATGGCACCATCATGTTGAGTTTCAATATATACATCCTGCTGTAAATTGGTCATGGTGATTGGTGAAATGAGCTCGTCGCTGCTCAGTCGTCCATAGCTGGCTGGAGAATAGGGGGAGGGGTCCGTGCCTGAGGCTTCCCTCTTCCTCTGTACTACCGTCGGCATGGGCACGGTCAAGACTCCCCCACCAGTTCGTGCCAATCCTCCAGATCTGACCACGCAGGTGTCTAATACATACACACGGCCATTTCCACGCGCTAGGTTGCTCGGTGTACCCTGCTTCTTTCTTCTGACCAATTTTTGCCCCGGCGGCAAAACCGGTTTCGTCCTCCTGCCTGCGTGTGGGCGTTTCAGGAGTTTTTCAATCTTTTCAACCATGTACATGATTTGGGGGCAGGGCAGGATTTGAAAAATATATGCATGGTTAAAATCGCCGAGAGCTCTGCGAAATACTCCCTCCGTTTCATAATGTAACACTTTTTTTTAACGCTACTTCACTGTCAAAAAAACGTCTTCTATTATAGGACGGAGAAACTACTAGTAGTGCCGTGTAGTGCTGTTTTCTTCAGGGTTTCTTCTACTCTGTTTTCAGCGTTGTCCCTAAAAAACACCTTGACAATGGTTTGCAACTTTGTTTTTCTCCTCTTTTCTCCATCTAAACAGTGAATTTGATGATCTTTTGAGTTCCCCTCTTTGACACCTGGACCAACATAGACAATCACCACCACACTAATGACAACCTGCTTGCAATCTTCCTCATTGTCGCCCCACCGAACGACATCTGTCTCGCGGCGCGCACTGTTGGCTTTCCTGAGGACTGATCACTTGATCTGGCCGGCGAACACGCAAGCACAGGGACTAGAACACACAAACACAAAAACCTTTGGCCAACGGTACGTCTTGTACCTTCTAAGTGCATCTCCAAGCTGGACCCTCAAATCGCTCACAACGGTCCAGACCACGCAGTTCAGACATGTTTTGTCATTCAAGGCGCACCTATATCGATCCGCCGATTAGTCCGGATGTGATTTTTCCCGCAAACCAGCTACGGCTGCGGTGCTTGCTTCTGACTAACCCGTCCCATCAAAACTCCTCTCCATCGCCCGCACATTTCTCGCCAGAGTGGCCGCTCCGCATGGACGCCGACCCAGAACGGACATGACTTCTCACTGGTGTCAACATTGAACCAACTCGCCGGTCCAGAGCGCCGCCTGCTATTGCGAACGCCTTCTTCCCGCATTGAAACGACATCTGTATGCCCGTCTACCTCCATTAAATAGTGTCTGGGATAAGGAACCTACTCCGGCACCCCGAGCGCCACACATCCAATCCCATGTCGTCCGGCATTAAACACCTCTACGGCTGGTGCCTCGCATCCGCCCGCTATTTAAAGGTGGGCTAGCGCCAGGCAAGAACCACACCACACCTCCGCTCTCCACCTCTTCCCTGTACCACACCCGTCATGCCCTCCAGCTCCAAAGTCTTGTGGGACGGCCTCCCATTGATTAGAAGGAGCCAATGTCGTCTCTTGGCAATCTGCCGCGAGCGATGGTGGTAACGTGTCTAGCATGCGGAGAAAGAAGCCATGTTCACGGGCATTGGCATGGCGGCGGAGGGTTATGACTGGGGCACCGATGACGACGTCGCCAACTCTGCTTCGGCTGCACCCCAGGACGACGAAGGCGGCACGTTCGCGGCCGCCATCAACAATGAGGAAAATAAACCTTGGGAGGCCGCCGACGCTTGGGTCCCACCAAGGCCACTGCCTCCGCTTCGCCGGGTTGCACAATCGGTGACTTGCCTAGTGAGTGGGTGCGTAGGCCACAGTGATGGTCTTCCCCGTCCAAAAAATCAACACTGATATGTGCTTCGCGGCATCATAGTGAGGCTACTCTTTCACTCCCGTTGAATCATATTCCTCCGGGGCTCACGGCTGTATGATGAACGGGCTGGCTGACATAGAGGAAGATATTTAATGGGAATGGTGATCCACCACGGCAGGCACTATAGTAGTTTAAGCCTAGTCCGATATAGTTTAGTTAAAATATGTCACAAATGTAATGTTTTGGTCCGGTTTATATGAAAATCATCCGGTTTGCATATAATTCGTCCGGTTTGTAGAAACCCGGCTTGAAACATATGCGACTAGCTTTAGATGACCAACTCTCGCATCCGTGTCCGCGGACAAGGACCCCTTGTCAGCGGACTGATGTGGTGTCTGGTTTGTGGGTCAGCATTGAAGATGCCCTAATATATACTTCCTCGTAAAGACATATAAGAGCGTTTAAATCACTAAAGTAGTGATCTGAGCGCCCTTATATTCTTTACGGAGGGAATATTTATTTCTAAGTCTTTTTCTCACGAGATTGATCACGTCAAACTAGAGGAATAAACTCGATCAAGAACTTTTAGCCAAGGAATCGTACTGTGCCCTCCTGGTTTTCCCTTTTTTTTTTCCTTTTTTTATGATTACAATAACACCGTGGCCTCCATATATAGCCGCACGGCTAGACTCAATACTCTCGATAATCAACTTCGGTGCCCGGGCACCAAACAACACACTCCAATACTCTGACCTTTTTTTTTTGACATAGTAGGAGTAGTACTCACGACACTGACTAAGACAGGGAGTCATCTCTATTAGAGCATCTCCAATAAATGATATAAAGAACTAACTTTTACATCTCCAAGACCTAAAAATGCATCTCCAATAGATGATGTAGACCTAAAAAAATATACATCACTTGTTCCAAGCGATGTAAAATACAACACCTTTTTACATCAAATACACGTCACCTGTTGGAGTTGGGTCTTTTTGGGAGATGTATGAAGCGCCGTTTGGTGATGTAAATTATACAACACCTACTTTTACATCTCTAAATATATACATGATCGATTGGAGATGGTCTTAGATTGAAAATCAGACCGACCAGTGCTGAAATTTTCCTACTCTTCACACGCACGCTACTACCAGTGAACACTTTTCTAAACTAATTGGCCGGCTAGCTTGATCATGCTTATACTAATCCTTACTGAGCTCAATTAGAAACCTACACTAACCAGTAATGTGTTTGTATTACTCTACCAGCCTCGAGTCAAGTCAACCCACCATTCACTCAGCTCTTTTCTCTCGTCGATCTAGAACGTCTCCTCTCTCAGTTAGTGCTATCGCTTTATGCAGATATGTTCAAGCTGTCGATCCATGGTTTTGTAAACTGAGAAGTTGTATTGTTAATCCATAGCCTGTGCCTCCTCACTTCCTAGTTGCTCTTGCTCTTGCAGTCTAATCACCCCTGCTGGCATATCCAGATCCAGAGTACATAATAGATACTGTATGTTCTAGGGTCGATGCAACCTCAAGCGGCCACATACTGCAAAATATGTACATAGTATTTTCTTCGGGGTCTTCTTGAGCTGTGCATCTTTTTAATTCCGTGGAAAAAAGGGTAGAAGGGCATTTTTAGCACTACATCAAATTAGGCTTTTAAACACTATAGCCATATTGTTATCTGAACTTTACAAGCATTATGTCATGTGTGTATCGACTTTGGTACAAATCTTACAATAATTTCTTTTACTTTGCATTTAATGCACGGTTTTATTACATCAGTGGACAATGTGTTTCAGTTCTGGTTTGTGTTAAATATTTGTTGGTGCTTGAATGATTTACTGGAGACAACTTTCTTGCACAAGTACCATATGCTGCTATAGAAAGGTACTAGTAATCTAGTCAAACATCAGTTCTCCATGAAATGGTGCTCTAGTAGGAATAAACTTTTTTTTGGTAGTGTTGGAAGTGCATATTCTGAAGTGGATTGCACAGCAGATAGATGGATCTTGACGTCCTGGAGCGTATACTTGATGGAAGAGAGAAGCCGACAAATCTATCATTCGAGCTTTTGAAGAATATCACAGAAAATTTCTCAGTCGATCGAGAAATCGGCCATGGTGGATTTGCAACGGTTTATAAGGTAAATTATTTTAACAGAAATTAGGCATATGTCATCTAAAGATCACGCTTGAACTTGTTATATCGACTTGAGCCTCGGTAGTAAAAGTCTCAGTATATATATAGGTGTTACATACATTTCCAAGACACCCCTTACTTTTTGTGGTACTCTGCGTATGTAGTGAAGTCAGTCAGTATTTTTTGTGTACTCTACGTATGTATTGAACTCAGTCAGTAAGCAAGATTTTTCTACCCGAAAAAGTAAATTCTGTGTGGTACTCCTAGGATAGAGACACTGTGTGTCGCGTCTATGACACAAGCCTGCACGCATGCATTAGTTTCTGTGTGGTCAGGGGCCCTCAAATGTGGTGGCGCCAGTGTTGTGTTACTCCCATCTCTCTGCAGAGCACCTTCAAATTCAGCTAGACATTCTTTAAATGCTCACAAGAGAAGTTAAACAGGGAGTGCTCCCAAATGGGAATGTCGCAGTAAAGAGGATAAGGAACAGTCATTCAATCAATGAGGCATTATTTTATCGTGAAGTTGACAGCCTGTTGAACATTGAACATAAAAATGTGGTACGGTTTCTTGGCTTCTGTGCTAGCACAGATCAAACAGCCATACAAATCGAAGGATCAAAACAACATATTTACGCGGAGGTAAGAGAAAGGTTACTCTGTTTTGAGTATATCAACAATGGAAGCCTGCAAAAATATATTACTGGTACGTTGTTGCATCCGATATATAGCTGTTATCTTTGTTTATTTATCTTTTTCCATTCATTTCATGTTGACACATTTTATTTATAATCAAGGAGATGTAGACTAGAACACAAATGTTGATGTCACTTATTGTTCAGTATTTAACTTGCATAAATTAATTGTTGGAAACTTTCATTCTCGCTGCCACTTTTTCTATTATTCATGAGCAGTTTTAACATGGTCCCTCTTACCCCCTCTTTTCACATGAGAGGTAAGAGTATAAAATAGATCTTAGCCGTTGATCTCATCAATGAATGGCTTGATTGACTCTTACCTTCTTACCTCACATGTAAAAAAAAGAGGTAAGAGGGACCATGTTAAAATTTGCCATTATTCAGATGAATTAAGGGGACTTGAATGGAATACACGTTATAAAATAATTAGAGGCATCTGTGAAGGTTTGCATCATCTGCACAAGGAAAGACAGATATATCATATGGATTTGAAACCCGACAATATACTACTAGACAACGATATGGTGCCGAAAATCACAGATTTTGGTCTATGGAGACTTGATGAGAAGTCAAAAACCATGAGTGAAGAACGTCATGGATCACTGTAAGCTATGCATCAAAGGAACTTGTTCTTTTGCATTTACACTCACATTTGCTGATGCTATAATGCATTAAAATACCCTCCTTTTATGCATGCAGATGATACTGTGCTCCAGAATACCTACATAAGGGAAAGATGTCATTCAAATCAGACATGTACAGTTTGGGCATTATAATCATCGAATTAGTGACAGGAGAAAAGGAAATCCGCAGTGATAATAACAATGTAAGTGTGTGTTATCTCGCCATACATATAATCTATTTCTAGAAATACCCAAGATTTATGCCTTGCATATATGTTACACTGTTTGAGGTATTGGATGGCATATTTAGTTACATAATGCATATCTGAAGAGAAAGATTAGTCATGCAATGGTCCAGAAAGTAAACGCTTCGTAAAATGGTGATATTGAGTTCCATGTCACTCATACACAGTTTTACAATTTGATTCCAATGGATGGAGGCTTCATGTGATGGCTTGTAATATTTATATTTCATCCAAGTGGCATAGGGTCATCATGTCCCTTCCCGGCCTCCCTAGACCACTCTCACTCTCTCCCTCACGCTCCAAATTGTACAGTCCAAGCTAGTTTGGTTACTTATATATGACCTTGGCAGGTTTAGGAATATCCACAACAGAATTACTAGCCGGGTTTCTTTTCTCCTAGGACACACAAGGTGTGGACATTGATCTTTTATTGTGTTTTTGTATAGAAAAACTTAAGAACACTCCCGATTCCATTGATAGTGTGATGCTATAATGTCTTGCTGGAAATTTTATGTTCTTGTGTGGCTGAGTACAAACACCAAACACTCGTACAGAAAGAGCTATCTCAGGCGGGTGAAACACCTGCATGGAGGCAGATTTTGCCACCCTCGGTAAAAGGTTGCGGAAAGGGGGGACATCCCTAGTTGGTCTTGGACAAAATTGCATTTTTAGATGGTACCCTGGGTCGCGCCCAGGACCTCACGAGCACATGAAGCGAGCATCAATCCTGACTAGGTCTGCCTCAAGCGCGACCTCCGTCACTAGTAGTTGGTTTGCCTTGTTTGAGCACCACCATGACACAGTTGTCCTTGATGTCCACGTCCAGCGATTCCTCCAAGCAGTTGAGCACCATGCCGTCGTCATCGGTAGTGCACAACTCTGTCGTGTCTGCTCATCGGGGTCTATGTGGATGACCTCATCATCACTGGCTCATCCAAGAAGGTCGTGGAGATCTTTAAGGACGAAATGATGCCAAATTCAAGATGAGTGACCTCGGATTGTTGTCACTCTATCTTGGAATTGAGGTGCAGCAGGACAACAACGGTGTTAGCCTCTGTCAGGCACACTATGCTGCACGCATCATACAGCTGGGCAGCAAGGAGGGCTGCAACCCAGCTCACACTCCAATGGAGGAGCAACTCAAACTGACCCGTGTGAGCACTCTGCTTGAAGAACATCATGCAAACCGCTACGTCGCTAGCACCTGCCGCCAGCCACTATGGTCTACGCTACAGGCGGAAGACTGAAGAGACACGGTTGATTGGCTACAGAGACTGTGACCTTGCCGGTGATATTGACACCAGGAAGAGCATGAGTGGCACGATGTGCTTCCAACTGTAACAGCTTGGTGAGCTGGCAGTCACTCAAGCAACGAGTGGTGGCTCTATCCTCCGGTGAGGCAGAGTATGTGGCTGCCACATTTGTCGTGAGACTCGTGACACAAGGACTTTGACTAGCTCGGCTGTTTGGTGAACTCCATGGAAGAAAAGCTGAGGCAGTCGAGCTAATGGTGGACAACAAGACTGCCTTGGTGCAGGCCAAGAACCCGGTCTTCCTTGAATGCAGCCAACATATCGATCTACGGTAGCATTTTTATCAGGGACTGTTTGGAGGATGGGAGAAGGGGAACCTTGGCACAGTGGTAAAGTTGTTACCTTGTGACCATGAGGTCACGGGTCAGGTCGTAGAAATAGCCTCCAGGAGCTACATGCACTGGGCTGCCTTTTTTACTGTTTGAAGGATGGGGATGTCTGTGCCAACTACATCAACACCACAGACCAACTCGCTGACATTCTAACAAAAACACTAGGGCGGGTGAATTCCATGAGCTGCGTGTTAGGATTGGGATTGTCCAAATTGATTCAAGTCTTATTTGCAAGGATCAGGGGGAGAATTGTTAGAATAATCCTTGCTGCAGTTAGTCAATGAGTCAAGTGTTTTCCTTAGGCAGTAAGCTAGTGAGTCAAGTCTGTGTCTTAGGCTACAAGTCAGTGGGTCAAGTCAAGAAATCTTAGGCTCTATAAGAAAGCCACTGAGATGGTTCTGTACTAGTTCCTTTCAGCTATAAATAAGCGGAAAGGCCTAGCCAGCTACATCCATCACAGCCCAAAAACACAGTCCCGAATCAGAGTTACCTGTGCTCTTGCTACTAACAAACACAACCATATTTGCAAAAGCGTTAAAGAGCATAGTTTGCATGCGTTAAATATGGAACACTTCAACAACCACTAGAACTTACAAAAGTAGAAACCATTTTTTTATATAATCAAGAATATTCAGAAGCATGAACCAGTACGCACACCTTCACTAGGTGCATGCAGCCAAAAAATCCATTTTATACTGTCATTCACATCTACACGTAAAAATCTAGACTGTGCTAGTATCAACCCTTCTCATCTCTCTCTTGAAGCATACAGAGCACATGAGATACTCTTGATTACATTGGGAACCAAAACCTTCTCATCTCTGTCTTTTTGCATCGTTCAAAGCATCCATCGCCTCGTCTAATTTTGTGTGGAGGAGAGAGACGTGTCCAAGCTGGTTTATGTGTCGTCGTCCTCACAGTTTTTATAAAACATTTCAACTTACTTTGTCACATTTCATGGAACGACAGGTACTTAGGAGATGGAGGCATAGATGGAAGAAAACAGGGAAGGAAACACCACTGGCTGACCAACAAGTAGCAAAATGCCTCGAAATTGGGTTACTCTGCCACGAAATCGAGCCAACCAAATGGCCTTATATATGGCATATGATACATGTTATAAGAGAAATTGAAGGTGCTAATGGAAAACTCAGCAATGCCTATGAACATGCATTTGGACAGGTAAGCTCGAATGCTCCATGGGCCTTATTAGTTAGCTTTGGACTAGTTGCCCCAATTCTTTCATTCTTTCTTTTTACTTTCTCCCGCTCTTTATTGTAGATAAGCCCTTACTCGGAGGATGATATGCTTGGAATTGAGCCACTCCAACTACATTTTCCGTTTGAGCTTAACAAACAGATGTCATGCACACTTAAGTTAACCAATGGGATGGACTCTTACATTGCCTTCAACGTCGAAAATACGAGCCCCTTGCCATACTGCACACAGCCACAGAAAGGCATTTTGTCGCCAAGATCCAAGTGTAATGTTGAAATAACACTGCAGTTGCAGGGCAAGGCACCGGGATATATGCATCGTTCCAATGAACTTGTTGTGTGGAGCATCGACGTGAATGATTGCCTTGCAGTTGAGGATATAACGACCAATATGTTCACTAATGAGGTGGTCAATGTGGTTGATGACGTGAATTTGGATGTGGCTTTTTACGTCAGCGAGCCACAAGAAACGTGTGAGGAAACCAGTTGGGTGAGTTGTCCAAGAATACCAACTTGCAAAGCTTTGTCTATTCAATTTATGTCCAGTGCAAATGATCTTTTATTGTAGTTAGAGTGCCTTCCCGCAAAAAAAAGAAAGTTAAGTGCCAAATTGATAGACGTTCAGGTCAACATATATTTACTTACGCTTTGTAGTTGAACTTTGTGGTTTTGTGAATGAAATTGGGGGAGAGATCGCTTTCTTCAAAAAATAAAAGACGTTCAGATCAAACATATTTTAAAATTATTTTAATACAGAGTACTGCAAAATAATCAGTAGATTAGGTTGGGTTGCACATCTTTTCCTTTTTATTTTCATGTAGTGTTAAATCAACAATAAAAAAATAACTGTTGTTGAGAAGTCAGAATTTTGTTTGTTGACAAGTCTCACCAGTTGTGTGCGTGTGTGTGCATGAGCACGTGATATATATACCACCTGAGACACAAGTGAGATCGGTAACTAAGAAAGAAAACTTATTTGCAAAAGCTACGTATAGTTAATTATTAGCTAGTACAAATGAAACTTGTGCGTAATGAATAATGGTGCAAGAGTAACAGCATGGCAGAAATTTAATTAATACAAATGTCAAAAGGGCAGCGACAGCATAATAGGTCCAATGTTTCGAGTAAACAGTGTTTTGGTCAGCCGGTATAAGTGAACTATTGGTTACCAGGGGTGTTTCATCCTTGTTTGATCAAAACTGTACATTACCATAAAATGCACCAGAAAGAAAGCGTTCAATTGTCTGTCATCTGTCCCTATATGACTTGCAAAGCTATGTCTTTGATTTTTGTTCAACACAAATAATCATTTACTGTATAGTTGATTCCTCGATAATCAAAATAAACATCTTGCATCAAGTAATTTTTTTCCAACCGATAATTTTGATACCATAATATAATCTTATTATGTTTATATAATTACGGAAAAATAAAGAATATAGCTGTAGCTTGTCGATCTTGGCATCGGTAGCATCGCTCGGTCTCCGGCTTGCTGCTACTTGGCATGCGCGCAGAGGTCAGTGTAGCCCGCCACTGCCACGTCCTGGGCTCCTGGCCACGCCGATCGATCGAGTTCTTGAGAAACCTTCGCTTGTTGTCCGGCAACCTTTTTTTTCTTTTCTCTTGCTTTTTACCCCCATACGACCATTTAGTCTGATAACCTAATTATCTCCGTGTCTGTGAGCATGGTGTCTTCCTCCGGGAGCCCTTCGCCGCTAGCTCCGACACCTACCGCGTGGAGCTTTAACCCCAAGTTCTGTAGGTGGCCTCAGCCATTTAGATGAGCAATGTGCATGAGCCCACTAGCTCCATTCGCACCAAGTTGAGCGCACGAGGAGCCAGTTTTAGGGCTCACTAGCCTGCTCCATCCGCGCTCTGCGCACTCTGGTCGACATTCATAATCCAACACCATCCGCTGATAATCTTGGAGATGTCACGGACGGGGGATGACGACATTGCTGTTGGCGTCGAGC